TCCTTAGTGTCCCCGTGACCACCAAGTTTAGTTTAAGTTTAATAGATATCGCATTTTTAAACAGTTAAAGTGTTTTATTTAAACGTAAATCTTAATTTTCCTCAAGTAACCTCTTTTTCACTTTAAATAAAACCACACGGAAAGAGTGCAAAAAGAATTCATTTATCAAAATATAAATCAATATACTGACGCAAAGTGGACAGAGCGGGCCGCTGAAAGACCTTTATTATTTTTCATTGTAGTGACAAATAGAATATTCTAGTAGCGCGAATTCTCCTTCTACATTTTCGCGGAGATTTTTCGTGCTAAAATAATATGTACAATTTTTCTTTCAACAGAACAAAAACGAAATAAGTGTCCATTGAATGCGTTGAGATTGAATGTGTAAATAACGAATAACGAATTTTGCTTTGATATTTTATTTATTCGCATTAACAACTTTTGTTTACACTACCTCCACTCGTATTAAAAAAAAATAAACGTGTTATCTATACTAATATACTGACAAACTTCGCTGACACAGCTAATTGTTTAATATTATAACTCTACAGTTACTTCGCATAATCATACACTTTATTTACAAGAAACTGTAACAACTTCACGGCTGAAGGAATCATTTTAATGATTGTAACACTTAGTTGCATAAAACTACACATTATATTTTAATTATTAAAATTTTGCTTAATTTATTTAGAATTGACATGTATGTATTTTTTCATTTGTCCTCAATATACATTAAAAGTCACTTTAAAAATTGTCAATTGATAAAAGAAAAAAGAAAAATAATATAAAAGATTAACATGGAAAGTGACTCAAAATTGAAAACCCTTTTTTCAGTGAATAAAGTTTCCAAAATAGTCGATGGAGGAAATTCTGTTAAAAAATATGTTATATCAATAAAATACACATAATAAGAGTACGTATCATAATTACAATATAACATGTTTGGGCATATATTTGAAACGAATGAACAGTATCAGCAAATACGATAGCTTGTAATAAATTTTGAATTCACTGCAACTTTTTACTTTATTATAATCAGATAAACAGATTTCAACAACATCCAATCAACTAAAATTGTTACTAGTTTTGCTTTCAAACAAATATTTGCACACGATTCCAACGAAGCAATTAATACAGTTAGACCGAGGATCAACAATTATCTAATTAGAATCCGAAATTAATATTATTTTCTAATTTAAAGTAACAATTGGGTTTATTTTCAATGGATCTTTATTTATTTTGGGATAAAGATCATCATTATATATAATAAATATGACCTTCAAACTGTATGTAAATACGATCTGAATTTTCAGATGAAATAGCTTCATAATAAAATACTCAAGTTATTTAAAAATTATACTTGATGTTAATGATACTGTCTGTAGTTAATGCGACTAGTACACGATGAAATACAACAATTTAACGGTTCAAAACGTAATATACATATGTATATTAGAAACGTCAAACGTAAATGTAACTAATTATTAATATATGTCGCGTTTTAACCGTAAAAGTGTTTTATTTCAAATAATACAAGCAATACACATTTGAATAAAATACTTTATCTGCTAAAAACGCGAAACATATTAATTGAATTCTTCACATTTTACTTACGGGTCCCACCGTGACTACGCTGCAAAACATCCGAAACGTCAGCCATAGTAATAATACATTGTAAATAAGTTAACAATACAATTTAAACCGTTAAAATTGTTTTATTTCAAAGTTCCCTTTGTCATTGTATAACTAGGCTATGTTAATGTTAATTTCTATAAGTTGCACGGAACGCTGACGATGCCGGTTCAAATCCTGCCCGAGTCGAACATTTTTTCAATTTATTTTCAATTTTTAAATTATATATTATAATACTTTTATATTAATAACCAATAATAGTCTATATATAAATAATTAAACTCGTTAGAGTAACTACATAACGGGTTTTATTAGACAACAGCCTATTAGACCACAATTACGAATTTCTATAAAAGAATAAAATCTAAGAGATTTTACAAAAAAGCGTATTGAATCGCACATAAATTACCCTACCCTTTTTAACCTTTTTTTGTTACAACTACAAGTATCTAATTCAATTAGGTGGGCTGTTTTTGTAATCTCAAACTGAATGATGTTTACATAATACTCTGAATAAAGCTCCGCTATGAACCGCATTTTTGAAGGAATTTATCTTTTAAATATATAAAAGTTAGGTTTTAATTATTGCATATTATTAATATTTTAATTGAGATATATTATCTGTGTAGTATTTAAAATAAAATAAAGAATTCGTAGTTTGATTTCGTTTCTGCTTAATATCAAGAGAGTTTCTCCTCGTAGTGCATGTTACGATTACTTTTGTGCCGTGTGCCGAAACAACAATAACCAACCATTTGTCTACAGAGGCAATAAACGATACGCAGTCATATATTAAACATATAATTAAACACAGATATAAAATAGATGCAACTACCCTCTAACCCAATCGCGTATTAGCACTTAGCGCCTATTTATTACACCAAATCCATATTTAACACATATACATATTTAAATAAAACACTTTAACGGTTTAAAACGCGATATATTAGTGCAATAGTTGCAGCAGCCGTGGTCACGGGGAGACTCTGGAGACTGGCAGTCTCCCCGTGACCACGGCTGCTGCAAAGCATCCGAAGCGTCGGGCCGAAGTTAAAAATCATTTTCAAATCAGTTTAACTAATATCGCGTTTTAAACCCTTAAAATGTTTTATTTAAATGTGTACTACTCGCGTAAACTAAAGACGGTATTACATATACATCTTGGTAAAATTAGGATAAGCCAAGTTAATAATACATGCCCTAATCCACTAAACTGGTTTTAGGTTCGAGTCAATCGCGACGTCACGCAGGTGAGAATAAATGGTTTTCTGTAAACATTTTTCGATCTTCCCGCTAGACTGGGAGGAAAATTCGTGTCGGAATTTTAACATTGACATATGGCAACTTGGGGTAAATCGGGGATTTCTGGAGCGTCTTGAAAGCTTATACGTGTAGATCTTACGTAAAATTAGAAATATGATAGAATAAGTTGTAGGACACGGAAAACATAGCAGAAGTTTTTCTTTGCATCAAAAGTTTAAGTTTTATAACATAAAAACCTTGTCCAGTTAACAAGTATACACAAACAGACGCTACTACATTCTAAATGAGTTCACGACAAGGGGGCACAGAGAACTCCCCATGACACAATCATGTAAACATGATAAAAAAATTAGCGGTACAATCGGGTTTCTCCCAAAAAAAAAAGTTTATTTTATAGTATCACTGACTCTAAAAACCTTTTTTTACATTAGGTAGACAAAGAGTAGCAATCGCCAATAGACAAAGTTACATAAGGTGATGCCTGTCTGTATTTTTTAAGTTTTAAGATATTATATTTAATTAAAGATATTCTATTCGACAGCGATAACATTGTCGAGTATATAGCTTACTACAATAAAAAGTCTTTTTAGTTAATCTTAATTAAAAGTACTACCTGCGTCAACGACTTCGGCCGCGTAGAATAGTTGTTATAGGCGTCTTGAGATTAGCACGTACAAACATACAAACAAACAAACACATTTGCTATTTGTAAGTAAACTCTTAAATAATAAAATAGAATGCCCCCAACTACTCCATAAGCTTGACTTTCGTATACCCTATACACTAAACCAATCCTACCTGATCTGTGCCTTTTCGAAGAACTGTAGCTCAAACTCCTCAGTTGCTAGACTCAGTCATACTCTAAACAGATTCAGTCTCCTAGTCGATATTTACCATGACTCACCCAACAAACTCCGTCAATTACTTATTAATAAATTTTATCTCAATGTATAGATAGGCACTTCATTTCTATACTTTGTTTTGTATATTATTTTTCATTTTTTTCACATTTTAATGTATAAGTTAATTCCCACTTAAAATTTTACAATATGTGCTCTTCTCTCCTATAATATTTGTTTTTACTTGCTGTAATCGCCTATAACCGCTGTGTGATAATCTTTTGGGGAAACAAACAAGATAAGGGAAGTACGGGGAGAGGTTGAACCGAGATAAAATAGCGATGACCGAGCAGAAGTACGTCACGGAGTCCATTAACAACTTATTACCGACTTGCGAGATAAGAGCGAAACTCTTTATTCTATTATTGTCTTAATCGACCATCAGACCAGGCGCGGACTTGGCATGTCAATCGATGTTCTAGAAAGTTTAACATTATTATTGCTTTTATTCCAATTTTTTTTAATGATAGAGGAGGACAAACACGGCATAGGGTTTGCTTGATATAAAAAAGATGCGATGTCGACTTATTTTGAAATCCACTGACTGATTTCCAGATGAAGGCCAACATGTTTCTGGAAAAATTATAAATTTAAAAATTTAAAATATGTTGGACCTGGTGGGGATCGAAGTCACGATCCGTTATCATTAGCCTTATATTGCTACCATTAGACCAGCGAACCCGAAAAGTCTGAAAACATTTAAACGTTGATTAACATGATAAAATCTATGCTAATATTATAAAATGCGATAGTAACTCTGTCTGTCCTGATTTTAGTCCGAAACTACTAAACTGATTTAAATAACATTTTGAACACAGATATTTTAGAGCCTGAGAAAGACTACTTTTTATTGCCAAAAAAGGGTTGATAAGGGTTGAAAGCTTGTATGGAAATTCGTGGGTTTTGAAGTTATAACAATGACACTTTCTTCTTTGGGTTTTGGAATAGAAGTGAGGGTGGGAGTTGTGTGTTGGAGTGTAGGAATAAGAGTAGGAGTGATGTGAGGTGTTTTAAAATAAGTGTTTTTTTTACTAATCGTCTTATTAAAGTAGTATGGAATAACTTTAATTATGATATGACATTGTGATGTTCAACCTTAAAACTTATATCATGAAAATTTGTTGATAACAATACGCAAAACATGAACTAGACAATATTAGTTTATTTTTAATAATATGAAACTATAACAAGCAAATAAAATTATTAATAAGAATTAGAAAATATCACTTCTTTTATAGGGTTTCCACCTTCTATTACCCAAGCAGTGCCACTCTCTGCTTTTTCAAACACCTCAATTGTTGCTTTTCCGACTGCATCCACATTCTGCCAGGAATGTTCTTTCGATCTTTTCAAATAGTCTTTAGATATTCTCTCGTCCCATGTTGCATTTGTCAAATCAGCTACAAGTTGTGTACGCGTGAATCCTGGGCAAATTGCTATAACTCTTACTCCGGATCTTTCGTAATTGAAGGAATGTCCCAACGATCTAGTAAAAGCAACAACTCCAAATTTTGTCGCATGGTAAACAGGTAGATATTGCTCAACAATAACGCCATAAAGCGATGAAATGTTTAATATTGTACCACCATTTCCTGATTTGTCTTTTCGATTGGCTTCCCAAAATTTGAAGGATAATTGTACGACAGCCGTCAAATTTATATCAATCGCTATCTTTGGAATAGTTTCATTACCTACTCCAGCATTATTTACAAGTATATCTATTTTGTTATAGGAGTCGATCAATTTCTTCCAAATCACGTCTATGTCTTTGGCAACGTCACATTTGAAGAAAATCGCCCTATTATTACCGTATTTGGCACTTAATAGCTCTAAAGCTTTTTTACCTTCATCTTCATTAACATCTAGAATAATGACCTTTTTAGCTTCTTTTTCTAGGAAATTGCAAACTATTTCATATCCAATACCAGAAGCACCACCAGTTACTACCACAATAGAGTTTTTTATTTCTTGAGACATACTTTCTATTTTATAAAAAATAAGGTCACAATTTTAAAAATAATATAATTACGTGAATGTTTCAGGAACTAACTTATAAATAATGTCTGCAAAATTAACATCTTAGTGTGCATAATTTAAGCATTATCTTTTTACATATTTGTGATAGTGGCAAACGATAATGATAAAAGTAATTGCGTGTTTTTGCTGATGGAAAAGTAATATATATATCTTATTTACTTTATTATAATACACTTGAACCGTGTTTTTTTTTTTTCTGTGGTTTTATATCTTTTTCGGTATTGAGGCCCAAGTTTTACGTGGAATTCCATTTCCCTGGGGCGTTTTGTCTGTTTCGCTCATCGATTTTATTTACGAGCAAGTATACAATTTGTGTTTCATGGGCCCGAAAAAAACACAGTCTCAACTCAACTCACTGAACACAGTATTAAGTCGCCTATGACGATCATTTTATTTCAGGTATTATAAACATATTTTTCATTAAATAATTCGTCCCTGTCTTGTACCAAAAACTTTGTTCGACAATTTCGCTGGGTTACCCTCAAGATCCAAATATAATTACTTGGGGATTTACGTGTTTTCTCCGCTCTTTTGTAACGATTAAGTGGATGGGGAACTTATAATTTTGAGTTTACTATAGTACCTACATTTAATAATAGACGCGTTACCTTGCATAAAGCTAATTTTTATTAATTTTATTTAGAACTACAAACAATATTTTTTTATTGCATAAGAATTCCTCTGTTATATTATTACTTGTTAGTACAAAATATAAACTAAGCAATAGTAGTTAGCTATACTTGAACGCCGGAAAACTAACTAAAAAAATACCACCTACGAGGAAACAGATTGCGCTATCGCAGCAGATGACCTTGACACTATGGACACCCTGCCTTTTCTGTCCCGTAACCACTACTGCTGCAAAGTATATGAAACGTTGGCCGCAGTTAAAATAAATTGTAAATACGCGCTTTAATACTTTAAAAGTGTTTATTTCAATATGTTATAGTGGAATACTAAAACGATTGATTACATAATTGTATTTATTTATAACTCTAACATCGAAATGTTTACTGGGTTGTCCCAAATGGATCTTCAGTGGTTATTTAATTTAAAAAAAATAATTCCTCTCACTCAACAACTCACATTGTAAAATCGCTGCAAGCGACTAATTAAGAGTAGTACAACCGACAGCAGTGCTTTTTAAATAGATCAGATCTCACAGCTGAGATAAGAAGCAGCGAAGGCCTAAGATTCAAGACGTATCGATGAGGGACAGCGATGGCTTCGGTCAGGAAGTTGCAGACGTCTAAAACTACTAGAAGATAAAATTTATCAGTCAGACACTGAAATGCGTGTGCTATGAGAAAATTGGCGATAAGCTTCGCTTGGCTTAAGCTTAGCCTTAACTTGCGCCAGAGTGTAACATCTGTTTTGCATAAACGGCCGCGAGGCGCGGAAGCAAGCGACGCGCTGCCTACCACGCGGAATGCCGAATTCATCGCGCAATTCCCGACCAAGCGAATTCACTCGTGATATTGCGAACGAGACTTTCCGCCGCTTTTATTTTTAAATATTTTGACTTCATAGGAAAGAGTCGCCTGTTTTGCAAGCGATACAACGAACAGCTTTAAGATTCTCGGAAAGTTTTGATTCCCAACATCGATGCTTTTGGTACCTTCACAGATTGATATGATATTTACAGTCAAGTGAATACCTCTGTGCTCTACAAAACATCTTCATTTTTAGAATTGTAACCTAAGACCTCTATCCAAGTGTTTTACTATTGAGCTGCTTAAGCGAGAGAGTATTAAGAGAATATTAATGTTTATTTTATGTGTATATTATGTCCTACAATTTTGAATTTCAATATTTATCACTTTTAGATAATCTTAGATCTTATAGGGTGCGTATAGTATTGTTTCAACATATTATTTTAATGAAATCAAAGGATTTGATATAACTAATAATTTTACCTTGTCTATTGTCTATGTATCTATAGACGAGGAAATTTATATGATAAACTAGCTGTGCCCGCGACTTCGTTCGCGTGGAATAGTAACTTGGGGTAGAATTATAAATTATTTAGGTTGTTTATTAATAATTTATGTAATTGCGCATTTATCGCAGCCAATCTATGTTGTAAGTGCTACTTTGCCGCAAAACTCTCACCTCACTTCACTCCTACTCTAAGTTCCACTCCCACTAACACCCCTACTCCCACTCCCATTCCCAAAAAGCTAAAGATAAAGTTTTATTGTTCTAGCTTCAAAAACAACGAATTTCCATACAAACTTTCACCCCCCCTTTTGACCCCTTACAACCCCCTTTTCGAAATAAAAAGTAGCCTATAATCTTTCTTAGGGTACCATATATACCAACTGGGTACCAAATTTCATTCAAATCCGATCAGTAGTTTTGGCGTAAAAGAGTAACAGACAGACAGAGTCACTTTCGCATTTATAATATTAGTAAGGATTACAATAACGTAATTAGATCTTTGTTTACCAGACAGCTAATTCTTGCAACTGAATACTAGATAACTTTATTTTCATTGTTTAATCGTTATTTATTATAACAGAATATAATATGCATTTAATATTATCGGTCTTGATCACGAAATGCAATTTGAATTGAATTAGTCCAAACTATTTCAAATTAACATGACAGTACTTCAATCAAGAACTTTCGTTGTTTCGTAGTTGAATGATTATTTTCTTTACCTTTACTTATCTAATCTTACCTTAGGTTATGACGTAATCTAGGTCTTAAAACAAAATGAACGAGCACTTCAACCTTTACACCATATTTATTTTAGTATCTTATGGATCCATGTTATCTTATAAACCTTATAATTATACATTTAGTAACGCATAAATTTTACATATACTACATATTTGTGCTATACTTTAGTAAACAGCCTACAGACAAACCACTAAAATTGAAGATTAGCGGAATGCAACCAGACTTTTTACGTAAAGCGATTTATTCTACCCAGGCCAAATAGAAAGAAGCTTATAAATACAAAAATTGGAAACCTATAGACAACTGTAATTATATTACAAAATAATCTTAATATGACAATAAAATACCGTTTGTAGCTTACCGTTGAAACTATTTGAATGTCCTTTTCTTAAAAAAAAGCATAATATATATTGATATATATTTTTTATAATAATTTATATTTACGTAGTCACGAGCCCCATTGCATGGAATCCAAAACGTAGCGTCGCGGTCAGTTCTTTAAAAAAAGTTACCCAACATTTAATTTCCGAAGAAGTACAAGATTACATATAGTAATTTATTATTATAATAAAACATAGGATATAGAAAACAGTTATTATATCTCTAATGACACAAAAACTAGCAAAAGAACGTTTTCCTCAACGACAGAATCTTGCTTGCTAATATCATTATCATTTAAGTAACATTTAAGATAGTTAACGTAATTTGCAAAGTTCAATTTAGTTTTTTTGTCTCACACTAAACGCTTCGCACGGCTTGTCTAAGTGGATAGCATTGCAAATTTAATTAGGACACCCGATAATAATACTTTATTACCGCGTTTTGCCGGTAAATATCCCCGACTTTTCCTATTAGTAGGGAGTTGATGTTTATTAGATCTGGCAGCCCCGAGTTCTCCCATTAAGCACTAATTGTTTTCAAAGTTGGGTAATGGAAATAGATTAAAAAGTATCTTGCTATTCTCTAATACTTTTGCATGTTTTAAAAATATTCTTGCATTTTAATGGCTTCGTTAATTAAAGAATATAAAAAGGAACTATAAAGTTTAATTTAAGAATAGCTGTTTGCCCTCATAATTTTTGAAAGAATATTACACATACATATTGTGAATACTTATTTCCGATATGCGGGACATAGGGTTGATCACTCTATCGAAAACTACTGGAACTAAACATAGTACACTCTTATATATTAGATACAAATTAGTACTTTAAGTTTAACTATAATTATAGCTACGAATTAAACCACGGTACATTTTTAAAGAAGGGCAGGACTTACCAATTCGTTGATACTAGTAAAAAATATATACAATTTAAGAAAAAATGAAAATTACTAATAATATAAAATAATGAATAAAACTTATATTTTTCATTTATAACTGAGAGTACTATACCTATTGAATATTATTTATTATTATATATAATTATTTAAGCGTTAACCAAACTATTTACATACATATTAAAACATAACTTCTTTAATAGGTTCCCCTCCGTTTATAATCCAAGCGGTACCGGTCATTGCCTTTTCGAATACTTCAATAGTAGCTCTTCCAACAGCATCTACATTCTGCCAGGGATGTTCCTTTGTTCTTGCAGAAAAATCACTGATTATTCTCTTGTCCCATGCTTTTTGGGATACGGTGTTTGCTAGTTCCGTATTCGTCAAACCCGGGCAGACAGCCACAACTCGCACTCCGGATCTTTCATAATTGAACGAGTGTCCCAATGATCTCGTAAAAGCAATAATCCCAAACTTGGTCGCCTGATAAACCGGTAGAAACGGTTCTATAATAACACCATATAAAGAAGCTAAGTTGATTATCGTTCCACCGTTTCCCGAACCATCATTGCGATTAGTTTCCCAAAATTTAAAAGATAACTCTATGACTGCTGTTAAATTTACATTTATAGCTTCCCTTGGTTCGTTTTCATTAACCACTCCAGCATTATTTATAAGTATGTCTACTTTGTTATAACAATTTACTATTTTGTCCCAAATCACATCTATATCTTTACTGATATCGCATTGAAAGAAAACCGCTTTGTTATTACCGTATTGGGAATTTAAGGATTTCACAGCTTTTTTACCTTGGTCATCATTTAAATCGAGAATAATGACGGTTCTACATTTTTTTTGAAGAAATTTTTCGGATATATCTAAGCCAATACCATTCGCTCCGCCGGTGACTACCACAACCGTATCCTTAATTTCTTTAGACATTGTAATATAAAAGAAAACTTAACGTACGTGTTTCAAGAACTACGTGTCAATAATAACTACACATCTTGTTAGCACTGACATAGTTAGTGAATAAAAAATAAGAACTGAATATAAGCACTGGATGTAATAAGATAGACGACAAACAAGGATGAGTGATGTAATCACGCGGTGTTTTTTATAAATCCGTAAAACGAGTATGTTTAACTTTTTGCACCCGATTGGGCCTCTTGTATTTTTAAAGCTGGTAGTCGTAAGACTTGCTATTTATTTTCATAGTTCTTATCTAGATCAAGTTTTTTATCAGTCGATTTTATTAGATAGAAATCCTGGATAAACCATTTTTAACACATCAAAAATAAACTTAAATAACAAGTAGATAAATTATAATTAATGAAAGTGTATATATGTTAATAGCCTAAACACTAAAAAAATATAGAAGGGATATGACACAAGTGGGTTAACTTTAGTTTAACTTAAATTCGGTACTTTCAACACAATCGTCGTCGCTCCATGGACATCTAGTTTTAATTGTCGTGATCTGGAGGAAAAAAATATGTTTTTAAAATTATATAATTGGCATTGCTATTTATTTTGTGTAAGCAGAATAATCGCTAGTTCATAGTGCCATCTAGAAATCAACATATAGATGATCAGAATGATTTTTGTGTTTTATCTTATTTTAAGAAACGAACATAAACTGCTATTCGGAAACATAATATTTAATTAAGTAAATTAGAATTAACTTACGTATTCAATGTTTATTATTCATAAGATAAAACATATGTTAAATATACACTTCATAGAGAGGTTTTCCGCCTTCTATAACCCAGGCTTACCTTCTAACCCTACCACTTGCTGCATTTTCAAATACTTCAATTGCAGCAGAACCCACAGCATCAACTGTCTGCCACTGTTGATCATTTAAAAATGCTTGGCTATCTCTTTTAGTTTCTTCATCAAATGTTGAGAGGTTTTGAGTGAGATTTGTCTTAGTAAAACCTGGACAAATTGCGACAACCCTAACTCCTGTTCTTTTAAAATTGTATTCGTGGCCCAACGCCTTTGTAAAGCCCATAACTGCAAATTTTGTAGCCTGATAGACAGGTATAAATTGATCAACCCTAAACCCGTATATTGAAGCTAAGTTTATTATGGTTCCGCCGTTGTTTGACTTATCCGTTCGGTGGTATTCCCAGAATTTTAAAGACCAATCTATCAGTGCGGTGACATTTATATCGATAGCTTTCTTTGGTATTTTTTCATTTACAATGCCAGCATTATTAACAAAAACATCGATACATTCATATGTATCCTTTAACATAGTCCAAGTGCTATCAACATCGGATGTAACATCACATTTGTAGAAAACTGATCTGCTACTTCCATACTTATCATTTAACTTCTTTGTAGCACTTTTGCCTTCCTCTTCATTTATATCCAGAATTATAATGATTTTAGCTCCTTTGCTAAGAAATCTATCTGCTATTTCGTAACCAATGCCAGTTGCCCCACCAGTTATCACAACAACTTTATTTTTTAAATTTTTGGCCATAGTTCGCTCTTCTGTACAAAATACAATTTATAAATGCACGATTTATGAGTGCAGTATGAGAGCGAAGATAACGAGTTATCACAATTCATAAGGTTAAGTAACTTTCTGATAAGATTTTATATACTTATCACAAAGCATATTATGTGATACATAAAATACGTTTTACAAGTTATTTTTACTTGCCGGTAAATCGATCAGTGAATCGGAGACAATAAACAAAGAAATGGCAACATTTGAATGTCACCAGCAGCCTACAGAATTTACTATCATACATAACAGTACCTACAGTCAGAGTGGTGGAGACTGTCATTCAGAAACAAAATCTACTTTTAAGAAAGAAAAAATCTTTGACGACCTTGATCATAAAAAGATCCTGAAATCCTGTATCTTTACACTAATAACTAGTGCACTCTGCAATCCTCTAGGAGCAATTGTTAGTATAGGTCGCAGTAAGCGTTTTACATGCAAATTAGTTTTGCAGCTCGTTTAGCTGCATAGCTGCTACAATATGTAAAGCTATTGTGTCAACATAGCTGCTTAAGTCTACTGTAATCCACGATTATTTATTACTAAGCAATGCATATAAAATAGAAGTGTTGTATCACTTGAATATTGATTACAACTTGACGTATTTTCCTTTCAGAAATTATCCCTCCCCTGACATCTTGACTGCTGAAATAAAATAAAAAATATGCAATGATTCTTTTGTGCATCTTTGCTCAAAAAATATGAAATGGTAAGCCATATAGACCGATACACATATTAACCATGACGAATGCTTTCTGATAAGACAATGGTCTACTAAAATAAGTAGTATGTTGGTAGTTGCTGTAGGGATTTAAGAAAGGACAAACAAACATTCATATCAGTATGGGTAGCAAGCTCGGTTGCAAATTAATTATAATAAATTATTCAAAAGACTACAATAGAATGTGATAATTGATGATAATAAATTACAACGTCAATATATATATATATATATATATATATATATAGCGTTCTTGAATAATTACATTTATTGCATGGTTAATGATGACAAACCTGTCTGTCTTTGTATATACAATTACAATTTATTTATAAGTATCCAACATGTATAATAAAAGTTAAATATTTTAATATAAAATGAAATCGAGCTTAGCTGGAGTAGGTTGTAGAGTAGACATTTGTACAGACTATCAGAAGATCCATTTTTTTTACAGGCACCAATTAAATTAAAGACAATGATAGTTAACAATTTAATAGTCGAAAATTACTGTTTTTGTTTAAAAAAAAAACTAAAAGAAAGGAAACTATGTTGTTTAGGCTTCAAACCTAGTATCTCTCGCATTTAACGTAATGTAGGGATTTTTTTATATTGCGCTGCAAAAACGGATGTTCGAACTTTGAAGTAAGAATTATATTTAATAAGTAGCTGAGTCAGCGACTTCGTACGCGTTGAATAGTTATTTTGGGCATCCAAATTCGCTTCTGCAAACCTTTTCAACTTTATAAACTTTACCTTTTTTAGCGACGGGGAGGGACGCAATGTCGTTCCCATCCCTTCCCGTCGTTCTAGCAAGTTAATCTTAAAAGATAGACATATGGCGTTGTCGATCTTTTTTAGATTATATAAAGAGAAATCAATCTCTCATAAATATTTTTTGGGTATTTTGAACCGTTTTTCCAGCGTACGCCTCAGAAACCCATAATGATGAATAATTATCCCAATTGTTTTTACATTTCCCGCTGTACCTTCGCTTATATTAGTCATAGGATGATGTTTTATTAAATTTAGCATTCCTCGATAAATGTTCCAACCAACACAAAAAGGATTTTTCATATCGAACCCGTAGTTCCTGAGATTAGCGCGTTTAAACAAACAAACTCTTAAGCTTTATATATTAAGTATAGATTAGTTTTCTCTACATAATTAGTATTCATATTAAAAACTATTTTACCTTGAAGTAATAAATATATAACTGGTGAATTTTGTACAGTAGACTCAACCGACATGCAAGTACACAATATACAAGAGTAAAAGAAAAACTAGCCTTTTCTCGAAGGTTCGGTGCGATATTGTTCTTTATGTTGAGTCGTATCGCTGTAACTTGATGGTAACTAATGTTGGAAAGCTTTTAGCCCCCACCACCTGCAAGTCTGGACAATGGCTCATTTACTTCTAACACCCTATGAGATATTCCAGAGGATATAGTAAATAAGATAAAGTACGACTTACTTGTTTTCATATATAAACACTGAACGCTTATCATTGAATGTGTAGGTTCTCAGTCGTTGATAAGCAAACATAAAACAAGTATTAATAATTAATTAAAACATGATAAGCACCAATATGTTTAATTCGATAAGCATAAAGTTTATATTTTTAAAGTGTTTTAAACACGTTAAAAATGTTTAAACCTTGAAATTTATTATGTACAATTATTAATTTTAACTACAATCCGACATTTCGGATGGAGATGGAGCGTGTCCCTACTCTAGCGCCATCTATTTCGTCGTAGTTGGATGGTATAAAGATAATATTACAAGGGTTACTAAGCAATGATTTTCAAGATAAAAAAAGAGTGAAGAATTTATCCGATAAGATTCCATTCACGATACTAGCTTTAGTAATTAAGTGGTACAATTCTGCCTGTTAACCTTAAATACTGTTTTATTTTTTTAATACAAAAATTATTACAGGTTATCAATAAAGGCGCCAACCAGGGTGATAGATCAAAGCCCTTAAACTCTCCATTACATAAACATGAGGCCCGAGTATTATTTAAAATATTATTTTTAAAGTTCAGTGTCAAGTATGTACAGGTACATATTATATAGGTCTATTATAGTAGAGAAAGAAACGTTATAATTTAAAAATGGACAATAAATTGAAACGGAACGCTGACATGAACAGGCATCGTCAGCGTTCCGTGCAATTGCTCTAACAACTGAGCTACCGAATCCCACACCACATCGTCGAAATCTACACATCTCGCGTAATGTAATTCCTTTTTTTATTCAATCTAAAATTGATTTTTAATTTAAATAATGCCATTATATAAAAAATATTAAAGTTTTAAAACATATTTATAATATTTTAATACTTAATGTAAACGCAATACATTTTAATTTTATCTAAATATTAAACACACATGTTTAAGTTTACAAACGTTTCCATTAGTTTGAATTTTTCGAATCAAAAATAAAAGTTCGCCAACGAACCGTCCGCGTCGGCTTCAACAAACGGAGACAGTTGTAAACAACATTAAAAGGAACGAGACTTTTTAAATATAGGTCACTGCTTGGGGCTAACTAGACTGAGGTAGTAACAAGGTAAAGCTTTTCCCGTATTTGTCATAGACATCTTAAACGTACAAAGGCTAAAATAATATCCATAACTCCTTTAATTAAAGTTCTAGTTTCTACGTGAGGAAATAGGTGGCGCTACAGTCGCGTAGCGTTTTTAACAATAACATCCTGAGATTCATTAGCATAATAATAAGTCATTAGTTTAAACTATTTGTATATTATAGACAAGTTAAACATTAGTATTTTTAATAGTTCAGGGGTTACTAAGGACTTGTTTTGTATGGGTTTTGAATCTACTTGGCAAGCGCAACCTAGCGGGGATTTCTACCAGCTCCCAAAACACTTTCTTAGTGTGTACAAAGGACCACGTCCGTATTTGTAGCTAAAAGGTTAAACGCGTTGCCTAGGTTTCCGTTAAGAGCGAGACGTCCTGGGTTCGAATATCGTGAAAACTACTCATCAACTACATGCCTATAAAAGAAGTAACTGTGAAACGGACACAGAAATGGAAGCGATATTTCACTTTTTTAAATCTAAGGCCATAGAGTACGCCATGATTATCAAGTGTACACACACTTGACCGTTTCGTTCCCACGATGTTCTCGTTTACCGAAGAATGGTCTAAAGTATGTGCCTATGTATGTAAAAGTGTGTATAGAGACGACAATATTTGTGATGTAATAAACTGTGAACTCATGTTGGAAAGCGGATGTACGGTTATTATTCAACGAACTTAACTCTACAGTTTATATCAACCTTTTATAAATTCAAATATAAAACAAATAAGAGTACTATTATTTGTATTGTTGGCTGTTAACGTAACGCAATATTTTTTTAGAGTACAATACAAAACTTAATGCAAAATCTCTCGGAATTAAAGTTAAAAATATTTCATATTACTTTAATTATAATTAAAGAAAAGTCAATAAAAATAAAAAATAAAACACTTTTTATATCGATTGTACAGTTTATATTTCAAATAATATTTGCACGACGACTATACCGTATCGTAATAAAACAGGTGGCAAGTTTATTTACTGAACTCAACAAACACTTCAATAACTTAAACACAAAGAAGATTAAACATTTATTTTCTCAGCTGCTCGTCCTCCTTCAACAAGCCACACTGTACCGCTATCTGCTTTCTGGAATGTCTCTACCATTCCTTTGCCAATATCGTCAACATCCTGCCACTCTTCAGCTTTCAATTCTACGCAAAAGTCATTGAATGTATCTTCTTCCCTCACGTTTGGGTTGTTCGTCATATGCGTTCTAGTTAATCCAGGACAAAAGGCGACAACTCTTACTCCGGTCCTGTTATAAGTGTATTCGTGTCCTAGAGATTTTGAGAAACCAATTACGGCAAATTTAGAGGCATGGTAGTAAGGAATATGTGGGCTGATTCTAAACCCATATATAGACGAAATGTTTATAATAGTACCGCCGTTACCGCCTTTATCCTTCCTCATGTATTCGAAGAATTTCATTGTCCATTCCATCACAGCGAGAGCATTGACATTTATCGTATTTCTGATGCTTTTCTCGTCGAGAACTCCAGCGTTGTTAATAACGATATCAACGGTGACGATTTTTGTAACTTCCGCGTAAATTTTGTCCAAATCCATAACGACGTTACACGGAAAGAAGACGGCGCGGTCTTTGCCATACTTAGCTTTTATATTTTCTAATGACTGAAGTCCCTTCTTTTCGTTAAAATCTAACATGATTGCTCGTTCCGCTCCATTTTTCAGAAAGTGATCTACCATAGCGAGCCCCAGACCATCGGCAGAGCCGGTTACTAACACAACTTTTCCTTTAACGTCTCTTGCCATGATTGCTGCGATATTAAACTTACTAACGTGATTGAGCATTTGTCCTTCTATTTATAGAGCTGTGGCCTGTTTGCTCACTGTTATCGTTTTAGGGGTCTATACACTGTTGAATTTGTTACTTGTATCGCACTCTTACATTGGTAAGTGCTATAAAATGTCATACTAGTTCTTTAGAAAAAATGGGAGTTTAATGTAATTTATGTGACATTGTAAGTACAACTTAATTTTATTAAGATCGTGTCTATAAACACGATGTTAATATGGGTGTATAAGTGTATACATTATTTATTGTATTTTAACGAAACACGTTTAGGTTGTAACGTCCTTATTTACATTATGTATATAAATATTTATTTGTCAAATTAAAGCACAAAATGCGCGGGAACCACTTGTCGGTAAATTTTTATTAATAGTCTTAAACTGGTACACTCTATGCTCTATGGTAAGTATCGTTGATAAATATTATCACTTAGCGCTAAAATATATACCTAATAAATAAAGCGCTAAATATTCTATAATATTTTTTTTAGCTCAGTGTTCTGAGAGTATTAGTGTAAAGACATAATCAGTGATTTATTATAGGCAATACCATTACTTTCTGATCTATTGAAGTGGTTATCATTTTATAGATAACTTTTGGGCATCATAGCGTCATTTTTATCACATATTGTTTTTATAGATCTAGCTAATGTTTATTGCACGTATCAAATTTAAGATTAATTAAATAAAATTATTAATTTTTTTATCAGATGCAACACCAATCATCGTTTACAATAGTACTGTAGCGATATTTTGGAAATTATGTGTCCGTTTTACATGCCTCTTTTATAAGTATGTAGTCGGATATGGTCCATGTGCAAAGTTTTTCTTTTTAATAATATAAATAAATATTCTATTCCAATAAAATATCTCAAAAAAAATTGGGGAAAGGGGGGTCCTTTAGGGGGGGGCCCAAAAAAAAAAAACGTTTTTTTTCCGTTTTATTTTTATTATGCCATAAATATATCCCCACGACCTTGCAGTTGATGTGCGGCTATAATTCATATAAAATAGCATGATGTTAAAATACCTTGGTCTACTATAGTTTAAAAATACTAGATAAAAATGTTTCTGAATATACTAATGCCGGCTTTTGTTAATAATATTATGGGAAAACTTCGACTTGTCGGTTATTTTGTTAACCTATACATTAAAAGCAAGTACTATTTAATCTCTTATTTCGCCTTTTTAACATCTTTTATGGGTCACCTTGACATTTTCTACGTCTATTTAGGCCAATGAAATATATTTTAACTGAAATCCCGTTTGCCCAGTGAGAAAAGAGGCGAACACATTGTTGTGTCCGTTTCACTGATCGATTTTATTTAGAGGCAAGTGTCTCGAAAATCACACATTTGTGCAATGATGCGACAAAAAAATATTTATTTCCCGGGTATGAGCCCCAGCATCTACCATACCTGAAAGTGAGACAATGCAGTCTCTACCCTACCCTAGTAACATTACTTAAATAATATTGTATGAACTATTCAAAGTTCTGATTTTATAGTACGGGATATTATATTATTTTAGAAACATTGTCAACTCCCGTATGGTCTAGTGGCTAGGATACCTGGCTTTCACCCAGGAGGCTCGGGTTCGATTCCCGGTACGGGAAAATCTTTTAGCTATTTTAATGCGTTTTATTATTCTGCCGAAAGCCATAAGAAATAGTAATTAATGATTGTGTCAGTTTTTATCAATAATAGTTTATTATTTTTATAAGCGTGGTGTGAAATTATTCAAATATTGAAATACTTTGATTATAGACAATATTCTAGAAATACCACAAAAATACTCCTTTGATAAGAGCTGGCTGTACATATTTAAATCAAATTATGTCTAACAATGATTGTATAGTTATTACCTCGTTTAGGTATAGCTTTGTAAACTTCACTAATCACTTGTAAATAGTACAACAATAGTGCATACAAGGGAATAAGAGATAATATTACCCATTATTAGCTTTCTTTTTATTGTTGCAAATACCTAATAGATAAGCTTTGAGAAAACCGTGTTATTTAGTGGACAATTATCTTTTAACCATTAAGCTGGTACGATTCTCAGTTATATTCTAACCTATATACTGACACAAAAAATAATCATCTCTCATCTTGCATTAAATTTGTGTAGATTACCTAAGATGTAAATCCTATACTTACCTCGTTCCAGAAATTAGATTTGTTAATGCGACAGCAAGGAAATAAGGAAGAGGTTTTATAAATATCAAAATTAAATTCTATAATATCATGTAAGAATACATATATATGAAAACTTTGTTATAAAGTTCAATAGTTAAATAAACAACAAGAGGTGTTAATCAATTTAACTATCTACGAGTACACTGATAAACTCTACAATACGATTACCATAGTCATCAAGGTGTTGGTCATTATTCTTGGGTCAATATATTTGATGTATGTGTAAGGAATTTGTAAAAATGTATTTTTTTTTATTCCTGTCTAGTAAAAAGTCGTCTGACGTTAAAGTGTTTTATTTAAATATATTTTTACTTTTACAGATATTATTTAAAACCGGCCAAGTGAAAATTTTACGGAAACCTTCGGAAGTCCCTTTGGGTTCCGTACCATTGATGTGGTACGCAAATGACAATTACTGACAACAATACTTATTTGTTTATAACTACTTACTGTTGAAAAAAAGTGAATTTATTGTATAGCAAGCCCCGTTTACAAATTGCGTATATTTACGTAAAAACCGTAATGCACTTCTTCATTATATCCCTAAATATAAGGTAAAAAATAAATTATTGTCCTTTCTATATTCAACCACAAGCCATAATATATACATAATAAAATTAAAAGATATAACAAATATCATTTCTTACTTCAAATACAGTTACCTTGATACACAGTTATAATCACTGATTCAAGAAATCCAATTTTTCTTAATGTAGCAAATGAAAAAACCTGAAAAAAATTGAAATCGGTTTTTGTGAAAAATTCTTTGAGCGTTAGTTATCGGCCGCCCGTGTTCTTGTCGCTCGTCACTGATACTCTGTGTGGTACAAGTTAAAAGAGATGTGAATTAAGATTTTATTTTATTAGTGACAGTAAATAAGAATATATTTCGACGAGTGAAAATCATCACCAAACTGACAATTCGAAGGCTCGCACTTCAATACATGTAACTTCATTGTATTAACCGCGAATCACGCAAATTGAATGTCACTATGCCGTTATTAATTGTGGTGAAAACACTATATTGAATAAATAAAATAATTTTGTATCTCTTCTCTTCATTTTCTTAGATTCTTTTATAGTTAAGAATTGTTAGATTTGCTTGATGTAGCCACCGTCTACTTTAATAGATGGTAATGTAAGCTGTCAGTGTTCACCAAACTACCACTACTTCTAATAAAATATTCCGAATACTGACAACGCACATCACGTGTTTGCTCGTTTGAGTAAAAATTACTTGGGTAAAAATACCCGCCTTTAAAAAAATATAATTTAGTCATGCGGAGTAGAAGTCTAATTGTGCACAATATGTAGATATAGCAGACTTCGTTCCACCATGTTTTTTATAGACACAACAGTGGAATATGTATGTGTATATTTGGGCATTTTTTATTTCGCAATTTGACCGTACATTATGGTCATATTGTGATTCTTAAATGATTATTTCTTAATTTACGTTTTTGCAATAAATAATATTTAATTTGCATTATATATCGCTTGTAACTTGTACAATCGCCCCGTCAGATTCGGGCGCGTCCCTAGATGAAGTTGATAAACGACCGACGCGGACCTAATCCCGCCAGTAATCTTGCCCGATGCGTCGCACAATCTTTTACCTCACCAAATTTCCATCGAAACCTACCTAAAAATAACATCGAACAGATTAACTACGACTAATAATTTGTATAATAGAATATATAAGAGAAATACTGAGCATGATATCAAACATAAAATATAACAATTTACAAAATATTCTGTCCGTACAATATTAGGTACCTCTAATCTTTATAAGTACTGCGTAGATCTTATCGATATTTTCCCAATAGATACGGCTCAACTCAACTCAACGAACAACGTGTAAGTTTTGCTCAATTTCAATCGACAGTAAAAAAAATTGCAGTTATTCAAAGTTTCTAATTTTATATCGGCGGATATAAAAACAGGGAAGACAAGGAAATACAAAAAACATAGAAATAAAGAAAACAACTTTTGAATACTATTGATCATAGACTAGGGCACAAAATAGTATATTCGTAAATATTTCAGTTACAGTATGATAGATTCAATTTTTCAAGCGAGAGTCCTAAATCAAATAAAACTCGTCAATTGTTTTGACTAATCATCAATCAACAAACTGTTATACGTCCAATATGCATTTGAATACCTGAGTCTAGAGTACGTACTAAATTGTTCAATTCGAATTGTTTAATAGATTTTGATGGATCTTTATTAGACTGATGCCAGAGATAACCACATTTGCATAAATAATTTAATGTGCCAGTCATTCCGATGCTCCAATATTCACTGCTATTTGAAGGTAAATAAGGGATACGTACTGAATAATGCCCAAATATAATTTATTGCCAAGCTAACTTAATAAGTAAAGCTAAGGAACTTCAAAAGATCTCATCCTAAACGCCTGCTTAAAAAGTATTAACGTTTTTAAAAAAAAGAATATGATATAGTTCGTTACCTAACCTAATTAGTAATGTTTATATTTAGTTATAAATTAATTTAAGCTATAATTTATCATACGTAGAATCAGTAGAATACAATAATTAATATTTACAACAACATAAAATTATTTTATGCGGTCTCCATTATTTGTGCAGTGCATAACTATTAATGAAACGTCTCAAATTATATGTATGATTTCTTTATTAGCTGGCCTATAAATTGTAAAGCATAATATATTTTAGTTTTTCAAAATAAAAACTATAAAAAATTCATCATCTCTTAGTCTGCCAAAGTACAGCATAATGCTTAATTCAGTATTAAAATATGTACCTTCACGAGCAATTACCAATGTGTGTTTATAAATACGAGCTTTTTAAAGCAAATATAAGTAAAGGAAATACAAAACGCCTGTAACTTTATGATCATATTGATCGTTGCAAGTTGCATTGACATTTCTTTCAATAAAAGGCGCGCTCATTAGTTCAGTACAAGAAAGGTCTTTGTTGAAGTCAACAATAATTCTCATATTGTGTATGAGCTAATTGCTGCTTCTTTGTGTATTCTACTGGAGGCAGAGTTGAAGGACGCTTTGTTTCGAAAGTACTGGGAGCGTGTTCTTGTTTTGGTGACTTTTCACATTGTAGGTTATAACTATGGTAATAAAAATCTATTCAACACAACGACACGCAACGTAGCAACGTCAAAGGACAAATAAGTCGGTAGCTAATCTTAATTACATACTTTAGCGATGTTGGGATACTTCAGCTTCCATAAAGTAAACCAATGGCTATAACTGTCTTCCGACTTAAAAAACAGAAGAACGTAATATTAAAAAAGTTCAACCTAATTACGAGCACTGTAGAACGAAACATCTTAACTGTAACTTAGATACAATCATGTAATGAATATAGTAATATCATTTGAAAAGATATGAATAACACATAAGTAGTGTACAAAAGTTCAAGAGGAACCATGTACAAAAGCAATATTACAATAAAACGCGATGATTATTGAGAAAATTGTTAAATAGTGCTGTAACTTTGGTCCTCGGGGAAGAACCATTGACGAGAAGGTAGGTTTAATGTGAATCTGGTTTATGCCACTGGGTCTACACATGTTCCTAATGAATTCACTTTAACTTTTCCAGAACGCATAATTAGTTGGACTTCATCTAGAAAATCTGGATATTAAACGGGCGGTAGGAATATCGACATTTCATCCGGGTCCACAGAACTACTACACACTATAAACTCGCTGAAAGTCGAGAAAATCTTTAGATTTGGACAATGGATTATTTACAAAGTCATTTTAATTTATACTGAATTAATCCTTTTCCAATTAATTATAATACATTACATTAACCATTTCATAAAGATCACTATGGCTTTTTACAGCATAAAATTTATTAAAAAATTTCCGAAAATATTGCAGATTTAAAAAATCAGGGCTATAGCGGTGCGGAAGCCACGCTATAAACGTGGCTTATAAGAACAATAGCTGTGGCGAAGACTTCGTCCACGTTGAATAGTTATTTGCCGTCAAAACCTCCTCATCTTTATAATTTATATCTGTTACCCACGACTTCGACCGCGTCTTGTCGTTCTTGCAAGGTAATCTGAAAAGATAATATGCTGTCGCGTTTTTTTCTTCATATTAATTTTCAAGGAATAATAAGCAAGGAACCATTCTTTCATACATATTATTTTCATTTGATGAGTCATTTTTGCCCCAAAGCAACGGAACCCCTCCAACTTTAATAGTTTTCCCCGTTTTTTCCAAATTTTCCACTGTATTCCCGTTGGTCACAGTTTGATGTAAAGGCCTAAAGGCGATAAGTGACCTAACACAAAATATTTTTTTCAATTTCAACTATTAATTCCTAAAATAAGCGAGCTCAAACTAACCTATAATATAAGTACATATCAGTATTACACCTGCGTGAAGCTAGGACGGATAATTTCCATAAATCCATCAAATGCCTTCTATAAAATGCTTAACTGTACCCATTTATATAAAAAACGGCGTGTTTTTATTTGTTTACTTACAAATGTTTGTTTAGTTACTATGATGACACGCTTAAATGAGTTAGTACTTATCTAAGGCTTATATAATCGCGATTATATAATACAACCAAATGCCTATAAAAATATCACTCCTATATATCCACTCAGAAAAGTTTCATCAATCGACCAATTCTTGTCTTACATAGTGCTAAAAACAAAATATTTATAAATAAAATGGCCTGTGCAATAAAGTCAGTTAAACAGACACAATAATATGTCTGCCTCATACACTCGGATTAATTAGGACACGAGAGTTTTTTAAATACAAACAAGGCTTCGTTTCACAATATAATTTAATATTACAGTTATCAGTGTACCTGTAGTGATAAGCCGATGCGCAAAAAAAGCACTTAAAAGCTGGATGTGAGGACGCCTATATGTATTAGGTTTTCAATACTGTGATTCATTCAACGTATTCCATTCAAGATAGTCGCTTGTTTTTCGATTTGTTGATTACACAAAGACAAAAGAAGATACGGTAAGTAATTTATTGTTATGAAACAAAATTTCGTAATGTTTTTAATACGCACGTAAATACTTTTTATATTTCCTATATTTCGCCTTTTAAACTGTAAGTAATGTTTTATTAAATGCGTTTTACTCGTAATAACTACATTTCTTATAAATATGGTTTTTTGTAGTAGAAATATTAAAATGATTTAATTAAAATGAATTAGTTAATAGATATTCGATAATATTTTTTTGAAAACTTATATTTTTACATATTGCACATGAAGGCACTATATAATTTAAAAATCAAAAATAAATTGAAAATAAAATCGACTGGGGCAGGACTTGATCCGGCATCGTCAGCGTTCAGAGCAACAGCCTGACGGATGCCGGTAGGTACATGTCCTACGCGAGTCGACAATTATTTCAATTTATTTTAGATTTTTAAATTATATAATATTTTTTAAATACTAGTGTATTATTGGCCCCATTTGATAACTACTATAACTTGTTCAATGGTTTACCATAAAGCTACAATAATAACATATGGCGCCATTTTAAAATGCTAAATGTTGAAAGTAAATAGTGTCTACTTGTTACATATTTATTTATGATTTCTGTCCTTCACATATGATTGAAATGTACCTATTTGATAAAGCCGTTATTCTAATTATCATTTTAATTTTCCCAGTTTCATCCTTATTTAATCTAAATAAGACTCATTATCGTTTAAAACGCTAATTGTATTTGTTGATTCATTGTTAACAAGATTTCACGTGTTATGAAATTTATCAAACAGAAATACTATTACGCTATATTACAATTTTTCATAAAATGGTGCAACAATAGTATATGTAGAATACAACTGAATCTTGCTATATGAGACAGCGACAAAATTTAAAACAATTACGTTTTATTGTTGACCCGTTGATTGAAGGTTTGTTTTATTTTGTTGTAATTTTTAAATGTGTATCCAACGAACACTATGGAAATCAATGTATGACTTATTCGTCTCCACTATTTCAGTACCACTTTAATTACAATATAAGATATATTACATATTTTGTACTCTCTCTTTATTTTTAGTATGTTTTACTACACACTACTGGAACTGATTGTAAACTTTCTTTTCTTTCTTATATATAAAAAGGTTGCCTTCCTTTTATTTACGCAACCGAGTTTAAAGCTCACAGAATAAAAATAATATAATATTTTTGTGAGGTTGATGTTTATAGCCAACACGTATTTGTCTAAATAAAAAAAATAACGGTTTAAGACCCGAAATATATTAGTTATCTAATTTAGGCAGTCGTGGTCATGCGAGATCCCAATTGTTTTATTCGGTTTTGTTTTGCACCTATCTTACTGATGTAAGCAATCACTTGGTTTTATTGTCAACACGTGTCAAGCTACGACCCAACGTTTCGAATGCATCACAACAGCCGCGGTCACAGGGAGGCTGTTAAAATAATTTTCAAATAAGTGTAACTAATATATATCGCGTTTTAAATTGTTAAAGTGTTTTATTTAAATGTGTACTACTCGCGTCAACTACAGACCGTATTTGATTTCATATTTTTTCCAGGCCATGATCTTCTTAATTTGGGCTGCCGTGTTACTAGCCATTATCTATATCTACCACCGAAGAGCATATTCGAGGTTTTCGTCAAACGATGTCAAATATATACCGCCTGCACCATTTATCGGAAATGTCGGGCCAATCATTTTTCGGAAAATACATTTTGTCGATGATTTAACCCGATTTTATGCATCATTTCCAGACGAAAGGTAAGCAATTAATTTAACAGATTGCTTTTAAAAATATTCATATAATTAATATCTATACCATCATTGTATTGAACAGGTTCGTGGGTAGATACGAATTTATGAATTCCATCATCATCCTCCGAGATCTAGAGCTGATTAAGAAAATAACTATAAAGGACTTCGAGTATTTCCTTGATCATAGAGGTTTCGCAGATGAGGAAGTGGAACCGATATTCGCGAGGAATCTTTTCTCATTAAAAGGTAAGAAACCATGACAAAATAGAACAAGCGCCACTAGCGTAACAACATACACCAATAGAATCTCAAATGAGGTGTTGGGACCTAATCTAGACTAATATATAAAGCTGAGGAGTTTATTTGTTTGTTTCAACGCGCAAATCTCAGGACCTACTGGTTCTTTTTTGTTAGTTAGAGCAATAATCGAGGAAGGCTATAAAACATTGCGATGTAACTAAAGAGGAGCGACAAAACAGTGGGATATGTAAAAAAAAAGGGTATAAACATTCATCTCATTGAATTGTTGGTTCAAATCTAACAAAAAGTTTTCCCCAAGGTTAATGATTTTTGACATTGATGATTTGATTTGAGACATTTTGACCTTAAACATACATGTTGATGTAAATGCAATTTTCGTGTAACGGGGCAGCGATGTTTAGGATTTGATTCCACCCTCTTTCAAGAATATCTGTTTTGTTTATAAAAGCTGCTTAAGCATTATATGGACCTTCTGCTAATAACCAATATTGTAGGTGATGAATGGAAGGATATGCGATCGACTTTGAGTCCAGCATTCACAAGTTCCAAAATTCGAGTGATGGTGCCTTTTATGGAAGAGGTTGGCAACCAGATGACTGCACTCATGGCAAAAAGGATAAACGACAATAGAGGTACTTCATACATTAAATTTGACGTATCCACGTTCAGTCACTAATGAGAATGATTTAACTACTTGTTAAGACCACTATAAACAGTAGTTTAAATTAATTAATCTATTAAACTAAGTGTTATGTTTAACTAATGGGGTTTGACGCAATAGAGTGGAGAAAATCTCGTTAATGACGATGCTCTTTTAAAAGCATTCTTATCGAAGCCCATAAGTAAGTAGGTAGACTTGACTGCTAGACTTGAGTGCTGCGTAGTTATACTCAATTCAATAAAGTAGGCACTCGTCGTCATTCATTTGCTCTTGAACTTAATGATAAGGTGTTTTCGTTGTCGCCTCGACACCTTGTGTTAGCTGACTCGTATTTCTTACAATAATTTTCACTGATTACTTATATTGAAAATTTAATATATTTAAGACAAGTACTATAGCACCACCCGTGGTATTATTTTGGCCTTGTATCCACAGATGTGAACTGAAACGCGTGTTATTTACCACCAGACCGAGTGTCAGTCGTAGTCTAACACTTTTCAGAAAATTATAAATATAAAAAAAAAAAAAAAAAATAAACACCCCCCCCCCAAAAGGAGGGGAACCACCCCCGGCGGGGGGGGGAAAAAACGGGGGGGCGGAAAAAAAAAAAAAAAAAAAAAAAAAAAAAAAAAAAAAAAGGGATTTAAAACCGAAAAAAGGTTTTATAAAAAAGGGAACACCCCGCGAAAACTATAGACAGTATTTAAATTATAAAATACTTTAGAACCAACCCACAAATAAACAACGACTTGATATCATTAGACCGATGAGTACGTCTAACCTTGAATCCTTAATGTTATTGCACTCCAACATTGATTAATCGAAGATAGGTTGATACCGTTATCATAATCATAATAATGTTTATTTAAGCAAATTATAACTTATCTAAAAAACAAAAGTAAATACCGTGTTGCTAGTTTTTTAGCGATCCTTTCTGACCATTTAAAGTTACGTTAGGCAAATCTTTCTATACTAACGTTAAACAATAAAAAACAACAAAAATTAAAATTCATGTTCAAATTAAAAATATTTTTTTTATCACAACGTTCCGTGCTACTGCTTGAACCAATTGAGCTATCGTGCTTGTTGATGCCAGATCAAGTCCCACTCGTGTTGTATTTCTTTTTCAATCTAAATAGTTTTTTTTATTTATATAATGCTATGTGCAATAACATGTGAAGAATATTTGTCTTTATCTCTTTTTTAATCGCTCAGAATGTAACCGTATCACTCGATTGTATCTGTAATTTTCAGCAGTGTTGTATCGTAATCTATATTGCAAAAAATTTAAATTTTGTAAACGTTTTACGATAATATTAAATATATAAGTATAAACGTGTCTTGAAATTTGCACATGGGCTTGTAGGCAATACTATAGAGATACTTTTTCTTCAATTTTTTTTTCACTTAAATAAATGAATAATCCGTAAATATTTTGTAATAGTAGCACAGCTATTTTTTTAATTAATTATTATTGATCAAAAAAATTAATTTTAATGGAGATATACGTATAACAGGAGAGGCTGTTGAGATGGACGTCAGGGATCTTACGCGGCGCTATGCGAATGACGTCATCGCTTCATGTGCGTTTGGTCTAAAGGTGGACTCTCAAACTAAAGACACCGAGTTCTTTGAAATGGGAAAGAGAGCGTCTTCATTTAAGCTAAGGCAAATGATCATGTTCTTTGCTTACAGCGCACTGCCAGGATTGGTTAAGGTAATTTTTTTATGATAGAAACGGATAAACAGGCGAAGGATAAGCAAAGGGAAGAAAGGTGACCACCGGTCATATAACGTCTCGTCAAGATACGCTGGTCACCTTTACGGCTTATTCATATGTGGAGGGTAGTTCGTAACCCGACTGAATTTCGATATTCTTACAAACCCATTACCGATCAATATCCGAAAATAAAACTAACAATTTTCAGAAGAAAAGAAAATATAAGTTGATATGAAATATATTGGAAAAATGGCGCTGCGGGTATTGACTGAGACCTGAATGATTCAAACTCGTTTTATAACAGAAAAAAACAAATCCTAAATACCATGAACGAAACATATCTCAGTGTGATATTATTTAACTATAGGTAGAATATGTTTATAATAAAACAAATAAATAAATAAACAAAATAAATTAATAAACATTCATGCTAAATTGCAAAGAATAAGAAAAATAAACATTAAATTGTCTGATATTAAATAAAAATATAAACTGCTTTCAACTTTCCGCTTTCTTGTATAAAGCCCTTGTACTATGACCGTGACTTCTGTATAAACCGTTTATAGTATTACGTATATAATACATTCCGAAGAAGCAATATTTGACTTTACGAAAATTTGGTTATTATGTTTGATTTTTAGTGGATTTGAATCCCGGATTAAAATAGACAATGACAATAGTTACTTAATTAATATTATTAAATATTAAACGATTAACTTCGATCAAACTACTTTTACAGCGTCTCAAAATGACACTATTCTCAAAGGAAACGACAAATTTCTTCACAAATGTTGTTATGGACACCATGCGACACAGAGAAGCCCATAATATTATTCGACCTGATATGATACATCTACTGATGGAAGCCAAAAAAGGTAAGAATAAACTCCCTGAAAACATATTACTCTAAATTGTTATTTTTTAAACAACATTTAAAGAAACAACGAGAATCGAACTTACGTCACGCGAGTAGGTAAGTAAATTAGGATTATTGAAATATGGTGACGATGTACGCGACAATTTACATAACTTGTTTGAATAAAAGTGCAGCGTGTTATACAAAGTAAATTATGTTGTGTATGTAGTTAACTCTATTCTATTTGAGGTATTATTAGCGCTTATATGTGTCCTTACACAGACAAGGTACTTCAACAAGTTATTATGTACCATTAATGTATTGACTTGATAGCAAAATATTGTGCAATTCGCCAACTTCCGTAGTTTCATTAGAAACCTTTGTTTCCAATGGTTTTATATATTTTTTATTGTGTAAATCCTTAACATCACTAAATCGGATCCATACTTTCACATTCGGATGTCACTAATAACAGTCTACTTTTTATGGAAAAACCTCGTCTGCTAAAACCTCACCGTTCGTTTGGCAACACGTATCTTTAAAACCGTCAGTTAGGGACTGGAAATATAGTTTTTACCAAACATTAGTCAGTTATATACATTTTCCTCCCAATCTTAAATTAAAACAAAGTAAGTATTTATTTCGGATTCCATATACAAGATCGCCATTTTAGGCCTATTTTTGCCATCAATTAATGGTAACAAATAGGCACTTTAAATATCAAATGAACTTTGTTTGCGATTCCGACACGCACTTACAAAGCACACACTATAAAAATCACCTTTAAACCCGACAATCAAAACTTAACCACAACAATTTATAATCGAACATGTTTACAAGCAATTAGGAATATATTTTTATATTTTTACCTTATCTTTCTTGCCATAGGTCAATTACAGCACGAGGATAAATCAAAGAGTACTATCCGCGACGCCGGATTCGCCACAGTCGAAGAATCTGCAGTTGGGAAGAAAGTAATTCAGAGAAGTAAGTGTACCATTCCACATAATATTGTATGTGTTGTGTAATCTTACATTAACTTTCTCTTCATCTTTATAAGACTGTAGTAAAACCACTTAAAGTGGAATACAGGAGCTGAATAAATTTTGGTTATGGGCTGTAACGTAGTGTAATGACCTTGTTTCAGACTGGTCTGACAATGACCTTATAGCTCAAGCTGTTTTATTCTTCATTGGCGGTTTCGAAACGATATCTTCAGCTATGTCATTTACTCTGCGTGAGCTGGCTTTATGTCCAGAAGCTCAAGAGAAGTTAGCAAAAGAAATAAAAGAAGATTCATTGAAAAATGGTGGTAAAATTGACTACAATTCCATCCATAACTTGCCATACATGGATATGGTAATATCAGGTAAGGTTCATAAACAAGAATATAAAACAAACGAAAGAATCGTTGATAAATACGGGTCTCGAACCATTGCACACTTTTTTTGACACTTTTATAAATTGACCCCTCCACAAAAACTATATAAATATAAATTAAATAATGTTTTTTTTTCAGAGGTGCTAAGATTGTGGCCTCCCGGTTTCCAGTTAGATAGGGTTTGTGCAAAGGACTATAATTTGGGAAGAGCCAATGATGCGTCTCAAAAGGATTACATTGTTAGTTTACAATAACGTAATTAAAATTTGTCAACTATAATCATAGCCATTATGGCTTTGACTATAGTTGTAGACAAACCGTTAAATCGGACATTTTTTTAATGCAATTATGTATAAGATCCAATTCCTAATTACTTTAGTTTAGTGCCTGATGTTATTTTAGTTGTGATATTGTTTTCAGCTTCGAAAAGGTGAACAGGTAATCATACCAGTTTGGCCTATACACCGAAATCCGGAGTACTTTCCAAACCCCGACAAGTTTGATCCAGAGCGGTTCTCTGCTGAGAATAAACACCTTATTAAACCGATGGCATACATGCCATTCGGAGTTGGTCCTAGGAATTGTATAGGTACGTAAAAATTGAAATACGAACACGCTACTCTAGTACGATAAGCAGGACGTAAATTTTGAAGAAAGTAATAAAGCCCTTTTGAACGTGATGGTACTTTCCAAAGCAAATACTTTCTTATAATTTAAACTTAAACTGAATTCACCCGACCTGAATTGAACAAAAAACCTAGATTGAATTAACGACTACACCGGCGAGGCAGTATACAGTACAAGTTACCAAAATAACAATTTTGGCATCACATCACCTTACAGGTTGAATTATATTTTCAATTAACGTTTCAGGTTCAAGGTTCGCTCTGCTAGAGGTGAAGATGTTTATTTATCAGTTTCTATTGAAATTGGAAGTTTCGCCATCCTCGAAGACAGAACCTAAGGCGAAGCTTGCCTTGGATAGCTTTAACCTTAATCTTGAAGGAGGCACGTGGTTGAATTTCAAGATACGACAATAGTTCGCGATCACCGAAATCTACCCTTATAAGCCTTATGAATTATATAATTTCTTTATTGTAAATGCCTTTTAAAATATTTTAATATTAAAAATGATAGCTGCTATATGTACTTGTCATTTCGAGCTCTTCGACGTCATAAATGAGATCTCCTTGCATCGATGACATTACTAAGAGATGTTAAGCGATACTCGACAAACAATTAATGTTTAATATTAGTTAATATATTATAGCCAACAATAACGACTACAGAAATATAGACGTCAACGGTACATCTGAACCTTAATAAACACACCATAATAATCGCACCCTTTGTTCATTTTATTATTAGTTCTCTTACATATGAATTAAAGCACATTCATAGGATTGCAATGTGTGTTCCTTTTTACATATTCCCTTTCTTGTCTTAGTTTTTTTTATATAAGTAGCCTATGATTCATTTAAGATGGTATAGTTGTTTGTTTTGGATGATTGCACAGAGTTAGAAATACGATAAATGGAAAGTGTCAGCATTATTTTTTCTGTTTTGTCTTATATTGTTAGTGGTAGCAGTAAAAATTTTAATTATAAATAGTAATAATATTCAGTCATAGACCCACTTTTGTATAAGATATTGTTTTACAAAATTTCAAAACACTTTTACTCTATGCATTGTCTGGTAAAAAGTCTAAGCAAAATTGAAAGATTTGTGATAAAAAAAAAAAACATTTTTTATTGATTAGATAATACGAAAATAGAAAATTACTTCGAGATTAACTTTACACAATAACACATTTTAATTTTGCTATATACTAATAATTGTAGATATAATTTATGGACAATATTGATATAATCTAATGTTAAAAATTAATATTTAAAATAGTTTTTTTAACATTGTACTTAGTTTACAACAATTCAAGATATTAAATACTAGAAGTGAACTCCTGCATTAGTCATATTCATTTTCAATTCCTAATTTTGAAGTTAAGCCAGTGTCCACCCTCTAACCAAAGATTGAACGATTCCATTGACAGTTTAGCCGGAATGCAGGTTTTTCGTGAAGGAGAGAGTTCGACGTGTAATATAATTTGGTAGACCAACATTTTTAATTCACATAAGGCGAATCTCGAACCTGAAAATTTTAAACATAATTAATTTACTGAACGGAGAACAACATTAAGGAATTAAATTATGTAGGATTCAAGTAAATATGTAAAACTATAGTGATAATATACTCTTTTAACAAACGGGTTTGAAAAGTCAAACCTCACAATATATGGGATACTTTGTGAGTTATTTTAGTTAAGACATATCGATGGTGTGTCTAATTTTATTAATTTAAACATTGGGTTCAATAAAAAAGATTATTTTTGAATGTCTTATATTTGAAAAATACATAGGACAGGACACAACACACAGACACAGTGCATACAAAAGATAGTTTTTAGATTGCCCATATAAAAGACTGAGTCGGCGACTTTGTACGCGTAGAATAGTGGCTTTGGGCATCCAAATTCGTTTTTGCAAACCCTTCATCTTTATAAACTTAAGCTGTTACCCGCGACGTCAGTCGCGTCCCTTCTTGTCGTTCCTGCAAGTTAATCTAAAAGATTGACACATCGCTTCGCGGACTTTTTGTTAGATCATTTAAAGAGGAATCATTCTTTCCTACATATTTGTTGAACAGATTTCGCAGCGTACGCAACGAAAACCCACCCAGGATGAATAATTTTTCCAGTTTTTTCCACATTTCCCGCTGTTTCTTCGCACCTATTAGTCACTGAGCTATGTTTTATAACCTATAGATTTCATTAATAAACGCTCCTGAGATTTGCGCGTTCAAACAAACAAACAAAATAACTCTTCAGCATATATTAGTATAGATATAGATTTTACCACACGAATAATAAATAGTAGAATAAAATGCTTTTACTTTTAAATAAGTAATTTAAAACTTATTATAGTAACCTTCTATAAGGATGAAGTGTTATATAATTTAAACAACACATACCAATACAATTCCTAGGTCCTATTCCAAATGGCATATATGCCATTGGATTGATTAAGTCCTTGTTCTCATCAGAAAAGCGTTCTGGATCGAACTTCGTTGGATTTGGAAAATATTTAGCATCCCGATGGATAGGCCAGAAAGGTAGAAATACGTATTCACCCTTCTTTATCTGAGAAATAAAACAATATTCAAGCCTATTTATGGATATTCTGGAAAGTAGTGTTAAATACTATCTATAGTTTACGCGAAAGCAAAACTTATTTTAACTACATTCATTGCAGCAGCCGTGGTCACGGGGAGAGTAAAGATGTAGGGTATCTATATCTCTATCAAAGTAAAAAGCATCCGAAACGTAGTGTTTTTTTTTAAGTAGTGTTATTCTATAATTTGTAGAACAAAAGATTGATTGATTTATTAAGATCTGCGTTAATCGAAACAAATTCTTCTGTGTCTTGATAAGTTATTTTTGGCATCAGTCTTTCTTGGTATTGCCTTTACATATTAAATTGATTAATGTGTTGAAATAATACTAACAATATATTCGTTCGGTGCATCCTTATTAGGTTTTCCCAAATTGTAATCCTTATTGCACAATCTATCTGTGCCAACTGCAGGTGGCCACAACCGAAGAACCTCTGAAATACGAGCGAATATTTTGAGAGATGTGTCTACTACAGTCTATTCTCAGAAGCGTGTATGATCTATGCTTAGTAAATTTGACGGTGCGATAGTTCCTTCTAGAAGTATCCGTTCCATTTGTCTATTTGCCGGCCTTCTATAATAAATTTAGCAGATGAGATCTTGAATATAAAAACTGAATGTCGAATTGAGAACCTCTTTTTTAAAAGTCGTTAGCGTTATTTATCAGACAACCTTGACTATAAGTAAAACCTCCATCCATAAACATTGTGTTACTCTTCAAAGTAAATTATATATCGACAATAAGAATAACGTCTCACCTGATATTACCATGTCCAAGTAACGTAAATTTTGAATAGATGTGTAGTCAATTTTCCCTCCGTGCTTCGATGAATGTTCTTTAACTTCTTCGTACAATTTATCTTGGATCTCCGTATTAAGCGCTAACTCGTGTAATGTGAATGACATGGCGACGGATATTGTTTCAAAACCAGCGATGAAGAACAGCACCGCTTGAGCAATCAGATCGTTGTCAGTCCATTCTGAAAACAATGAATATATCGATTACTTTTATTATATTCGATATAGATTACTAGTAAAATTATTGAATCTTTGTTTTGCCCACGAATAATTGACAAATAAAAAAGCCACGAAGTTTAATTGCATTTCGGTTTCAATCAGTGTGTGAATTTCCGAATATCCAAAGCCACAATATGTCGCTAGCGTGTCTTGTTTAAATATTACATGGCAAGGGCAATTTATTTACTATAAAGTGAGCCTATGTTGTCGTTCTCTATAATAAAAAAACATCTCTTCAGTGTTTATTTAATTATTAAGAGCTCACACCTCTTTTCACTTCGTTCTTTCCAACGTCAGACTCTTCAACTGTAGCAAAACCTGCATCTCCAGCGTTTTCCTTTACATCATGATTCAGTTTTCCTACAAACATGTAAAATAATAATTTACAGCGTTATCTATTCTTTTCATGAAATCCTGTTGGCTGAGTACTGAAATATTTGATTTATCAATCTACTTTTATCTTATCACTTCTTATTTACAAACTTTTTAACATCGGTTATTAAGCAGTAAACATTTATTACTTCTCACCTTTTTTGGCTTCCATGAGAAGGTGAATCATATCTGGACGTATTATTTTGTTCTCTTCTCTGGCTCTCATCGTGTCTTGTACTAGATTGGTAAAGAATTCCGTAGTAGATTTTGAAAATAAAGTCAATTTTAGTTTCTGAAATTAATAAAGATGATATTAACCACAAACCGACGTTTTCATTAGCTGTAACCGATCGTAGGTAAAAATATATTTTTATATTTTTAACGTTATAAACTGTTTAAAATATGTTATTTAATTAAGGTAAAGTACATACAATACGTCTACAGCTATGATAGAAGCAGTAATATAAAGTAGTGCTAAATGTATAATTCTTTTGTCTATCGACCGAAGTATCTTTATGTTCATGCTATCTAACTATATTAATACATTTTTTGAATTTAAAAAACAAACTCTTCCCAAGCGACGACGCAATTGTAACTTTGTCAATTGTTTTGACCTTTTGTCTATTCTTAGCTTAATTCAATTTTGTCACCAATCTTGAGACTAATCAAACTGTTGTTGGTCACCTAAACAGGGGATTTACATGTCATCTTACTTTTTTTTATTATGTCACCGGATATTTACTAAAAGTACAACCGAAGTTTTAATAAGTTGCATTACATTACCTTGACCAGAGTGGGAAATGCGCTGTAAGCGAGAAACATTAGTATTTGTCGAAATTTGAAAGACGCTGCTATCTTTCCCATGTGATAAAATTTGTTATTCTCCTCTGTATAGGAATCGACTTTTAATCCAAATGCACAGGTCGCGATCACATCGTTAGCGTATCTAGTTGTAAGGTCCTTAACATCAACTTCTAATTGGTCGCCTGTAAAAACGAAAATTGTTTAGGCTTTTTATAAACAGAAATCAAAGTCATAAAGTCTTCCTGGTCAATTCTGCCAATCGGATGCGTACTGCGAGAATTGTATCTCGTTGTTATTATAATATTTTGTATTATTAATACATTTATGAAAAAATCTTTTGAAATGATTTTTTTCATTCGATTTAAACTTTATTTGTTAGAGTTTTTTAAAACACTGTTTATTTTATGAACTATTTAAACATTTTACTCTTATCAGAAATCATTTAATATTGTAATTGGTGTACAATTTATGATGTTTTTAATTAATGTTATCAAAAATATATGTGCGTAAAGTAGAATATAAATATTAGATTTAAAGGAGGTCAACTTAATTCCGGAGCAAAACTTGCATATTTAACGAGCATATTTGAAAGAATGAAGCAAACGGCTATACAGCACAAAATATACGTATAATGTAGCAAAGGTCAGGTTTTCAAGGCAGTTATTATGTCATTACCTGAGGGTGCATAAAACTCCGCTAATGATACTTTTAAACTGGTTTTTATTATATTTTTAAGAAACTTTGATGGCAGACATCTTTTGAATTTCCCGAGAGTCACTCGCAAAGTGTTGTCTTTTTATTCCCGAGGCCCAAGTAGATGAGCGCGTACCACTTTGAAATGTGGGCCATATTACGATCTTTTCATATTATGCTTGTAAGTGTTTCGCCGAGTAAGTTCAGTAAGTTTATTAGGGTTTCGCAGTCGAGGGAAATTTGAACACTTAGAATTACAAAGTCTTCCGCTGTCCATTCGCCTGACTGCATCTTGTGAACCGTGATAGACAACCAGTTAACTTTACAAACAACATAATTTAACGCAGATAATAATATATCGTTAGTTTTGTTACACGTATAACATTAAAAATTATGACAAAATTTAATTCTAGCGACCAAAGTGATTCGTTAACCAAAGATAGTTTAAGATAATCGTGCGTTTATAAAGCACGATTTTATTGAAGTTTATTTAGGTGGTACGGAACAACTCGTGCGAGTCCACCTTGCATTTGTTCGGTTTGTTGTATATTTATTTAACTCACGGTACTATCCAAATAAATATTAGCATAGTTAAATCATTTATACATACAGTTATTCGCTTGGACCTTTCTTTTTAGAGCTTCTATCATCTGGTTTCCTACTTCCTCCATGAATGGAACCATCACCCGAATTTTGGAGCTGGTGAAAGCAGGACTGAGCGTTGAACGCATGTCTTTCCATTCGTTACCTAAATTTTGTATTATTTAATTACTGCACGTCTATACCATCAATATCTTTAGTATCATGATTACCCTTTAATGTAAACAGATTTCTGGCAAATATAGGTTCAACTTTTTCGTCAGCAAAGCCTCTGTGATCGGTGAAATAGTCAAAATCTTTTATGGTTACTTTCTTTAAAAGTTCCAAGTCTCTGATTACAATGGCTGGGTTTAAAAATTCATACCTGCCGACGAACCTGCAGTAAAAAAGAGCAAATAACCAATGAAAGGTAAATAAATAACAATTAACTAAAACTCTGGTAAAAAAAATGAGTTTACATGCTTAGTAAAGACGTACTCATTGTTGTAATAAAGTAAAAATTCTAGGTATATGAAGAAATTTCAATTCTATACGTTATAACTGGATAGAATTGAAATTTCTTCATATACCTATAATTTTTGACAGGTTATTCCGAATCAATTGACAATTAAACAGGTAAAAAGGTAGCATAATTAATGATTGCCTATTAGTCAATAAAAATAATCAGTTTTTAAATTTGATAGTGTATCAATATCATTAACACTATCAAATTACCTTTCTTCAGGAAACGCTTTGTAACATCTATCAAGATCATCCACAATATGGAGTTTCTTAGTCAGCGCAGCTCCCATGTTCCCTACTATTGGTAGGGGCTTCATATGTTTCACCCCATGTCTACTGAATCTCGAATATACTTGGCGTAAGTACACATATACCACCGCGAACAGTACGGCAACCCAGATCCAAAATATCATCGTCTGTTGAAATGTCTTGAAATTAATAAGATGTGGTTCCTAGTTTTATACATTTTATATTAATCGACAAATAAACCTATACTTTATCCAAAACCTTTATTGAAATCATTAATTTAATTAACTTTGCATCAAATTAACATATTAATTTTAATAAATACTTTTAACATTCCCTTGGTTAAGTTTAACGTACATTTAAAGTTGTATTATATTGGTTATGGATTAAGACAACGTCAGAGTATTTTAGTAATTACTATTTTGTTACCGACTCAAAAATATTAATTCTTCAAATTAAAGCGTAAATTGTGACCTTGACCTTGACATCTTACGTATAAAAAAGCAAACAAAAAAACTTACTGCGTTGTACTATTGTACCATCTAACAAAATAATAAACAAAGATAAATCCGTTCGTATACGACTTGTCGTGTCTGCCTTGCCTGACGCGCAAATAACAAATAAGAGACTCAACGCAGGTAAACCGGACACGTAATTATATCATAATATACATAATAGATAGCGCTATCTGTGTCGTGGGGAGATCGGAAAATTGATTTATTCATAAAGTGACCGTTGAAGGGAAATGCTGTATATTTCATATTTATCTTCGTGAAGGTTATTATTTAATAAAAGACATACGATTTTGACATATATGTGACGTGTAGGGGAGACATATTCTTGTGTCAGTTATAGATGTAATTTAATAAGTAATTATTTGCCGACCTAATTCTATTTGTTTCTGGGAATTCGCCCCCAGGATATAACGCTAGGAAAAGCGATGCTTTTAACCGTTGCGTCATAGTAAGTTAGTTTTTAACCTTCTTAAAGAATACCAAACTCCTGTTCTTGGTTTCATAAAAAATTATGGGGCAATACTAGATTTTACCTTTAGTAAGTAAACTATAAGTATTTTACTAGCACCAAATACTTAAACTACAGTTTTTAATTAGCTGCAAAATTATGTTATATGTTATGGATCATTTTACTAAAGGCATACATGCATTACCAATTTTTCTTGATCTAGCTGTAACTTCCATAGATATACATGTCATCGCAAGTACTAAAGTCCTAAGCGGTACTTCACCTGATTTAATTATTTCTTCTATATCACAAGCAAATATAGTCATAATTGATGTTTGAAAAGGACGTCTAATAAATTTATCAAATTGCCAAATTTAGTCAATAAGTATTTGTAAAAACATCGAAATTGACTTAGACAGCGAGATGCCACCGAAGCCATTCAAGATGCAATAAACAATACTAGGAACTTAATGAAAAGCCTCGCGACAAGATTATTATATTTTATTGGTTATGTAGTATGCTACAATTACAACTAGTCGATACGCGCTGTTAACTTATTTTAGCCTTGGTCATTGAAACCTATATGCAAATTTAAACTTATTTAACATCTATAATTTTAACCTCCTACTAACCATTTAATTTTCAGACGTTGAGTTAGACTTGTTTAGAAAAATTCGCAACATGAAGTTAAGAATAAAACCCCCATTGTATCTTAAAATACATTGTTAGTATTGGACCAACTACGAAGCCTTCCTTTCTCTTAGTTTGGTATAAAGTTATATATATAGGTTCACGTAGATTCATCCGTCTCCTAGATTGTATAGGCTCTTAAATTACAATGCACCCTAGACCTCGTGACGTCATAGTGCTCGAGAGAATTCAAGTGCTAGGCTATTCACAGGCACCTATAAAATATATGACAAAACATGAAATCACTTATAATGTATGTACAGTTAAATTTAAAAAAATCCCAAATTTACTTTTTACCTTACTTAAAATATGTTAAAAAATAAATAATATGTTTAAAATCTATATTAGAATTTTAATTTGTTTGTTGCTATCACAAAAAGTTTTAAACTTTAACTAGACAATTTAATGCACACCATCTAGTATTACACTGTGACACTAAAATGTTATGCATGCTTGTAGTGGTAGAATTTTAACCTAGAACCTTAAATGATTTGTAGTTTTTAATAATTTCTATAGATGTCACTGTGATCAAAATATTTTAGTTCTTTTTACTTTCAATAGATGGCGTCTAAATTCAAACTGAGTAGAGTATTTCATCTTGAAGATATTAAAAACATGGTACATAACCATATTTGTTTCTCTGATAGATTTTTATTTACACGGCAATTAGATCAGTCTACTGCATCCTACGCGACCGGAAGAAGATATCTTTGATTTAATTAAAATAAATAATTAATTGCGAACACTATAACAAATTAGTAGTCCTAGTATAAAAATATATGTGGGGCTTAATTCCTTATTCCAAAAGGTTTTAAAATAAAACAATTCATTTCACATCCATAATAATAATTATGTAATTTTCTTAATTTTCACATAATTTTTCATATCTCGCATTCAACAGTAAGTAGGTACTACTTCTAGCATATATTATAAAACAATGTAGATACAACTTAGACGTATGATTTAATAACAATCCAACATTTATAACTAACTAAAGTAAATTCCTGACAGTAAATTATAATAAACTTAAGTTTTGTTTAAGACTTCAGAAGAACTATGATGACTTTGAAAACTTGTGGTCTTTTATTTCTGCTCTTATTAAAATACCCCTTTATGTACATACTATGGTTTTCTTCGGATATATTATATAATTGAATTGAATTATATTATTTTAAACCGTAATAAATGATCAAATGCACATATTTTTTTCGCAAACATTATGTTTTATTACAAAATTGTTTGCCTAGTGTAACGACATTTTATTATTTATTATAAATAATTCAAATTCGAGTGACATCGATTAGGCGGCTTTAAATAACAGTTAAATATGTCTTTTACACTGACGATATCTCAAAATATATATGTCATAGTTAAAAGTTATGTAATTTTATTGTATGAAAACATTTGTCAAGAAGTGATGTTTAAATTACTTTCATTCAATTAAATATTAATAGCAATGTTTCTTAGCATGAAATAGACATAGAGTTATAAGTGTATTTAAGATTAATGTTTTATTACTTCTCAAAGTACGTAAAAATTCTATAAAAAATCGTAAGTAATAAGTATGTAAGACACAAAATTTGTACTAAAGTGATGAATATTATATTATTTAAGTCTTAAGTAAAGTCATATGAAATAAGTAATACACAAAAAAACACTAAAGCTACATGCTAAAATATATTTTATTTCAACTTACCAACGAATAATTTTGTTTGAAGAAAAATAACATTCATATTATTGTAAATATTTTCCAATAAGACTTGGTTTACTATTATATAAACTAAAAGAAATACTAAATGCAATAAATTTTATATCCAAAACAATTATATATACGCAAATTAAATAATAATTAGATGGAAACTATTATTAAATTACAAAATATAAGGAAATAACTAAAGTATATGCATAAATAATAATAGTTTTAACATTTACTCTACATCACAGCAATTGCCTGAGAGTTACAAACTTAAATGCTAACTTAGTCTAAAAAAATCTAGATAATTACGTAATTTCAATCTTTTGGTTTATTACCAATGAGGCTTATTTTCTTGTACTTTCCTTTCCATATAACCCTTATTGTAAATTTTAGAAGACTTATTCAAAATATGTGTCAGCCTCATTGGAAGAATAAACCAAACCGAGTACAATTCTGTTCATTAAATAATCTTTGGCCTTCAGATCTTTTCACTTGTCATTTTTATTGCACATTCGCGTCGTGCCTTATTAGCCTATTAATTTTCTCTAAACTAACACTGAGAGACATGCCCTTAAAGTAGAAAATAAGTGTCGATAAAGATTTATAATTAAGTACAATTAACATTCACAACATTATGGCAACATTAAACGAAAATTCTATATAAGGAGCCATTACTAAATTACGTCACAACAATTTTGTGATTTCGCATTTTTCTTTCTTGTCACATTTGTCAGAGTCCACTTTCATCGCCCTTCCATAATGTGGCTCTACTACTTTGCTATTTTATAGAAAATATAGTATTTGTATTATATAGTTTTCACTAGCTTTAACTATTAATAATGTGACATTTATATCTCCCCACCATTGCCCCCCCTTAAGCTGTGACGTAATTTACAAATGAACTCTCATACCCTTAAATAATACCTATAAATAGTTGGGAAACGTATCTTATAAATTAGACTGGAATGTTTATTATTTACAACAATGTACTCATGACATTTCTCTTATCTTAACATTATATTACATAACAACAATAATAATATTATTGAAACGTCAAAAATCCTGTATCAAAAATTCGTAGCTCTGAAAAATTGCCTCGACGAAACGTGTACAATCATCGTCAGAAAAATACACTTAAACATTTAAAAAAATAATAAAATGGACTTTAACAATCGGCTTTACAACCATTAATTGACGGAACTAACCTTTAACAATCTCTGATCAGAATACAACCATTGAAACTATGCCTTACGTTTATTGAGCTTACTTTACCATTAAAACATTTTTCGTAACTACCTCCTTCTCTATCATAATACTTTAACTATCCTTTTAAAACCAGCTTGCTCTTGGACAATTCTCGTGCAATTAATTTCACATTTAAACCTCCACAAAGTAGATTAATAACTTCGAAGAATTGTACTAGAGCGTGTACACACTTCTTCACCTCTTCTACCTTTGAGCGTTTGAATTTATACCGAAACGATAAATATATCTCGGTTGAACTAAGAATTTGAGTAATTCATTTCGTGGAGGTCCAACTCAGATTTGACTTTTACGAAATTCGGGTTGTCTGTCCTGAAGTCTGGACCTTTGTGTCCAAACTGGTAGACGAGTCGTGCTGTGGGTACTGAGACAAGGACTGATTGTCTATAGTGATATCTCATGGCTCTGCTGAATTTCTCGAAAGTCATGTTCTCGTTCTGTTTCATCTGTCCCCAGAGTTTTGCGACTTCGTCTGGTTTGACAAATCTGTAAAGAAAGATTAATATCTTAGTCAAAATATAACCAGGAATCCCCGATATATACTTTCTATATTTAATCATTGATGGATAAAAGATATTTCTGCTTCTAGACAATTATAATTTATTATAATGAAACAAGAATGCTTCTGCTTTCCGATACATTTTTAATTCAAGGATTGCAAATCAAGATGGCAAGGTGAAAATTATAAGCCGCACGCGATAATTGATTGGTTATTAGAAATTAGAATACAATGAGACAAAATTACTTCAACATTGAACGTAGAAGGAAGCGTATCTATACTACGATGGTTTAGAAAAGAGTTGTCGATTAAAATTTGAGGCTGTTACCAAGGCACAGGTTATCGATTTCGTTTTAATTAAAAAATGATAAAGTCGTCAAATGGCATTAAAGTAAAATCCTGTTTCCTTTACCTAGAGGATATGGTTGATACATTTCTGTATCTCTTTTACTGGTTTATAGACAAGTAGCTGATAATACTATTGAATGATCCCCAGGGTGCAGCCCTTTGCTTATGCCCAGAAAGCGTTCAGCTGAAGATTCCTATGATTACAGATTATAAAAAATTTAAACTTAATATTATCGTTACAGCAGCCACAGATAATCTATTTAAATTGCACAGATAAAATCGCAAGCGAGTCAAGTTCGACTAGCATCCGATACGACCTTGCATATAATTTACAGCTAATTAAATGAATTCTCTGTCTGCATAAGGTGTATAATGGGCGTAGGTATAGAACGAGTAATGATGCAAAATGTCCAGCTAATTGTGATCGGAGTCAAGGTCAACTTGTTGCAGTCATTATCAGCTCTGCTAGCAACGTGACGAGTTATAAACGTGCATCTACAAGACAGCATTACCTAAGTATGTGTTACCAATATAATATGTACTTAGATATATGTATTTGTATAGGACGCTATGCTCTTTCTAAAGATAAGACATGAAGTAAGAATTTTTCTTCACCTTTTCACGGTTACATACCACACTATGTGGTGGATGGGTCAAGCATATTATATCCGTTGCATAGATCGGTTTTTAGTTGTTGTTATGAAGTTTATCGCGTTTTAGTTATAACGTAATGTCTTTTCTTAATTACCACGACCAACGATTCCAAAACTGAAGCAAATGCTTCAGATTTGAATTCAAAATGGCCGCGATATACGCCATTTTATATATATATTCGACATCAGAACCACTTTTAATGCGTTTAGCGTCCTTCCTAAAGTCGGTAAAGTAGATATAAGAATACAGAACATATTTTTTTTGTACAGGAATGATTGCAGTCAATTAATAAAACTTACTTATATGCATTGGTTTAAAGTCTGTGGTTAACATTGTCTTTGGTAAATGTCAAACATAACCATAATAAGTACACTTCGAGTTTTAACCACCGGGCAATTTTTATACAATAAACATCAATCAATTTTAAAATTGATTGCAGATATATATAAAATTCTGTTAGACCGGAAAGATAACACAATTCTTAGTAAAATAAAAAGCATCAGTGCATATAATTTTCAAGGTTTATACATGCAATATAATATCGTCGATATTTCTTAATTATGACACAAGTCTAGGATATTTTTTATATGTTCAAACATTTGTGACGTCTATGTCTACGACTATAACTTATCAGATTTAATCAACTTAAGTTAAATTTACTGACGCATCAATGTCAACGGTGACCTTGTCTAATGGCAAATAAAAAAGCCTAGCAGATAAAATGGCTTAAAGAATACAGAAGAATAATCAGAATACTTAAAGTAACAAGCAAAAGAGTTCCTTAGACACATTTAATTATTCTTAAGAAAAAAATGTAATAAAAAATAAGTTAATTTGTTAGTTGAATTAACTTATCTCAGAAACATTATTTATATATTATGTAGACCACTAGTTAATGTACCTAATTGTAATATGTCTATCTGAAAAATTGGGATAGGCAAGGAATAATTAAATATGTAAAGAAACGTTGCCATGTATAACGATTTTTAATTGTTAAGAGAGCTACTGTTTAAATTTCCCCAAAAAATAAAAATCATTATTTTTTTATTAATTTCTAAATGACAATATATACTTCGTTGACTAAATATAGAATAATGAGAGTGGTCTAATGTTAAAAGAAGTTACTCAAGCTAATTTAGTTTGTGTTAAACTGGAAGAGACACCAAGTCAAAAAGTAAGTATAGAATTAGGTCTTTTTATCATCTCACTAAATTGCAATCAACTATTATGGTGGCGTTTTGAAATTTTACTTAAATTTCAAAACGCCACCATACATTAATAATACAGATGAAAAAGTCGTGAAATTTAATCGTGTTTCGGTTTCCGTCTGTCGATTTCCGAATATCCAAAGTCAAACCTTGTCTGTTGTCTGATGTATTTTTAAGGCAATGTAAACTTATATTAAAAAAGTATTAAGACATTTTGTTCTTTAATGAATTCAGCGGTATGCTGTGATTATGATTGGTATTAGCAGAGGAGATAAAGTAGATAGCACTGACACATTTGAAACAAAACATAATTACTAATTATTCAGAGAGCAGTAAAAATAATTATTTAGCGATAATCGTTTTAATACCGTGGTTAGCATTGGAGGGCTAGGACGCTTGGATCTGTCACAACAAACTATTGTGGTAGGTTAATAGATCGTAAAATCCGATACAACTGTTGCTCATCGGCATATGGCATTGAGTGCTTGGTCTCTTGTTTACTTCATCGTTAATTACTTTTAATGAGGCTAGCAATATCATTTTTTCTTGGTAACCGATAATTCCTATATTTCTAGTATTGTTTCACTAGCACTCAGAACTTATCTGAATCGATTATATATCGCTTCTTACCAGATGAAGCCAAACGATTAGACTAATTTGTTTGATAATATCAATAAACATGACGATGTAAAAAATGTAATATTTCGATTATATATGAATGTTATGGTTTTACTATCGATCTTAGACTTAAAGGCATAAATTTATTTTATGAACTACACTCTTCTCCTACTATAACCGGGCCAGTCTAATCCAGCGCTGCTGAGTGTGACAAGCATTCATCAGCACAGCTGAGACTGGTACCGATAGCTTTGCATTCCTTATCTATTTATTATCGATTTAAGCAAGTTAGTTATAAGTTTACTATAAATATATTATAATGATAAATTTTAAATCTCAATTTGAAAGCTAAATGAAATATAACAGAAATTAAACAAACCTATAATACTGTCTACTGTCTCAAGATCTTTGAGTTGTCATCTTTCGAATCATTAGGCTTAGTCATCGATATTTTTATTGTCACTTACTGATGAGTATGGTTCGGAGTGACCATCATCAATGACAGTTAAGGCTACTTCATCATTATGCAATTAGCGTATTTAATCTAGATTTTTCAGTCGAGTATTGTTATCATCACTGGCTGTTTAACAATCCGTAAATGATAGCCTTGGGGGTCGCCAGGCTATTTAATGCTACTAGCAATGAGGCAAGTTTTGTAGATATGTACATTTTAGGGGTTAACCAGAGTATTTTTTTATGATAGAAGAGGACAGACAAACTAAATATTTGATTCGTTGATACAGTCATGGTAAACCCGGTCGTTTTGTTGGCAGGTGATCTTAATTTGTTATACAAGCTAGTTTTATTTTAACAAAATTGCTGCATTGTATGTTAATGTAAGTCGCTGTAACCGCTTATCTCAATAAAAACTTATCCTTCCATAAATTAAGCTCATTAAGTCAAGATACATCAAGAGCTTGATGGTTTGGACTTGTGCCATTTGGAGTACATAACAGAAAGATGCACCTCACGTGCTATTCCTTGGCCTAGCTGCTACGACACTTCACAAGGCTTCGACCTCGTAAAGGCGCGGACGGCATCCAAATTCGAATGAATCACTTGGACAATATTGGACCTCCGCTGTCACAAACAATCCTTAGCAATTCCAAGTACAGATATAATTTAGTAACGGTTATATTATCGTAAACATTAAATGTGGTATAGAATAACAAATGATCTTATAGACATAGACGGCTCGAGTAAGCAATTTTGGTTTGGCAAATATACCTTTCAATTGGAATTCTTAGAAGTTAATTTAGGAAATAATGTTTTGATATCGCCCAGAATTATTTGGGACAATCTATTGGAGTAAACGAAGTAATCTATACTAATATTACAATGCTGAAGAGTTTGCTTGTTTGTTTAAGCGCCCTAAGCTTAGGAATTACTGGTTCGAATTTATTTTTTTTATTTTATGCTTGTTGTACTATTTATCGAGAAAAGTTTTATGCTATAAAAGAACTAGCTGCAACTAATAGAAAACGAAAAAACAGAGGTAAATGTGGAAAAAAACGGGTAATATTATTCATTTTTGAGGGTTTTCATTACTATCGTTCTGGATACCCATAATGTATAAAAAAAATTATTTGAGTAATCTTAGAAAATGATAGCGATCGTACATGTAGACATGTACGATCTTTTAAAATTAATACAAGAACCATTTTTATGTTAATAAATTTCGTCAAAATACTTCATATGGCTAATGAACGGTTGCCAGCAGCAAGCTATCACTAAATGTATACGTCCATATTACCATATTTTATTAATTGTATGAACTTGAGAATAAAACAAATAAAATGCATTTCTCATAAAATACAACGTGATCCAAAGAGTCAAGACCGAACCTTGATTGCCAAGTTTATGATCCTCCATATTTGCATACTTCATACAATGAAGGTTTTCACTTGCCAGGTTAATACTAAAAGTACGATTTATTTTCTGTTATCAATAACTTCTTTACGAATAAAGGATTATTATTTTAAGAAGGTAAGAATATATCCAATAATTCAAAGTTTTAAAGTAATAGGGCTACTTTTAAATTTGTGCTGCTTACACCAGTTTACACGCTGCCTTATGATCCGTTATATTAGATACTTTCGTGATGTTTCAAATTTTATTATTGCCGTTTTTTGTAATATAAAATGCGTCTTATACATTGC